CTCTTCCATTTTTCTTTACTGTTCTTTAAAAAGAAAAAAAAAGGGATCTTTTGCAGGAGTGTGTGCGGCTACTGGGTACTCTATTATCTTATACGACAAAAAAAGTAAACAGAACAAAACCGAAAACTGAATCTCTCGTGTTGGGGATGATTATTTCATGCGAATTTCCCACTCGATGCCATCATTGCTTACACTTCTATATATATATATATATATATATATATATATATATATATATATATATATATATAAATCAGCTACCATTTGCTTTCAAGAAGGGTCCACACTCCACTGCAAACCGACTGATGTTTTGCTTTCACACATTCAATCCATATCCGAATTGGGGTTTTACTTTTTTTTATTTTTTTTTAGTTCTGTTCTTTCTTAAACTGTTGTTGATTAAATTATTCAAAAGGGTCTTGAAAGCAGATTTAAATTATTCGTTTTGTTGAATAAAATATGTATTGCTTTAGAGTTTAGAATCTGTGTGCTGTTTTTCTTTTCTTTTTTCTAAGTTTGCCATTACTATTACTCTTTTAGTCTTTGAAAAAATTAATTGTAGCCATTGAAATGAGTGGAATAATTAAAAGAATCCCTAAAATCAATAAACATTTATTGTAGTGGTTAATGGAAAATCTTGACTATTTCATCGATGTGGAAGTGTGGAATTTTTATATGCTTTGTTTAGACTTTAGGGGGCCTAACTGTGGGACCATTTGAGTTGAAAAATATTGACACTATTGTACTTGGGTTTTAAATTTTAATCAACTCAATTATTAATTAGAGGGTCAATTTACGAAAAAACCTTTCTTATTTGAATAATTATATTTATCCCTCAACTATGATTTTTGCTTACATCTCTACCTTTACGGTGTCAAATTCAACACAATCATCTAGATTTCGTGGAATGTGCTCTAGTTTGTACTCGTTTTGTGTAAATATACAGTTTCTGATGCACAACAATCTGATATATACAAGCCAAAAGATACATATTATGATCATTTTGCTTCAAAATGTGGAGTTCGAATGGGATAAAAAGGGTATTAAAGTGATAATATTTCATATAATCTCGAAGATTCCGCTAATTTGAAACCGCAATGGTGGATGTGTAAGAAGATTTATAGTTGAGGGGTGGTTGTAATTACCCAAACAGAAGGGGGTTTTAGTAATTTGACCATACCTTAGGGGGTGATTGTAATTTACCCTATTTTAAATTTTATATATAAAAGAAAGAAAAGCTGGACAACCTTAAAAAACTCTAATGGTATTTCTGTAATTATTTATTTTTAATATTTTTTTGTACTAATTTTCAACAATGACGAATCTCCTATTTTTCATCAATATATTTCAAATCTTAATATATAAAGATAGAAATTCAATTTGTTAAATCTAAACCTATACATTTGGATTGTCAAAATCTTAATATGTAAGATTTAAAAAAACTAATGTTATATAAAATATGAGTAATACTACGTTATTAAATTTTACTATGTTAATGTACTATATTTTCTTATTATGTATTAAATTGATATTTTTTTTCACTTTTAAAATAATATATCGTGCATCCCACGGAGAGAAACCGCTAATATAAAATAAAGAAAAATCAAAATTCTAAAGTGCTACTTTTCTTGTAAGATTCGTCAATAAAATGCTACTCATAATTGAAGTAAAGTGTTCTTGTTAAAATATAGTTATCATGTAATAAATAATCCAATTACGTCAAAGGAAACGAATGATAATTAAGGTCAATGAGTACAAATACAAGATTCTTTTAATTATTTAATTAATAATCCCACTATTATGGAGAATAAAATATAGTAGATGACAATTCCTCTTCAACTTGTGCTTGTTGTCAAAAAACTCTCTAGGTGGTCACTTTAAATCCACAATTATTATTATTAAATATATAAATAAAAATAAAACCAATCAAAAGACACTGCTAAAATCACCCGCTGGTAATATGCCTGTCATGCATCTATATTTACATTGTCTCTGATCAAATATGAAAGGGTGTAAATTTGGGCCGGACGCCCCATTTTTTTGAGAAAAACGGATGCCATACACCTAGTGACACGTGGAAATTTATCTAATTTTAAGCAAATAGATAATTTCTCTCTCCTAAGCGTGGCAGTAGAAAGAACCAAATTATGAGTATTACTTATTACTTATAGGGGTCCTTGGACCCTACACTCGGTGATAAACACCGAGTAGGTCTTCTGCTGCCACGTGTCCATTTTTTGTATTTTTCTAAAACCCCTAAAGGTAAACCCTAGTGGGGAATATATTATAAAATAATACATAAATAATAAGTAATAACCGGTATTTATCACCGGGTGTAGGGTTGAACAAATCTACTTATAGTTTTCTGACTTTCTCTATGTTATTTGTTTACATTATTTCTTTGCATATTTTTTTTTCTTTTCCTTTTTTTTTTCTTCAAATAAAATTAAAATTTCCCTTATAATACATTGACTTAAATGTACATGTGATTTAGCAAATAATATTATATTTTGTAGTCAATGAATTCTTTAACTTATTTGGAAAAATAAAATAAAATGTTTTTTTTTTGAATCATAAGTAATTTCATATTAAGTACATAAATAATATATAATAAATTTTATATGCATTTATTTTGGGTCTTGAGAATCAATTCCCAGCACATGTAAGATTGAATTAAGATGTGTTGTAAAAGGAATTTTTTTATTTAAAGAAAAAGAGAAAAACGAAAATCAAGAAGAAAGTAAAAGAAATAAAGATAAATCATACTCCATTAAAATCCACATGTCATGATATAAGTGGTGTCCATTTTTATTAGTAAAACGGAGCGTCCGTTTTGAATTAAATTCCAATATGAAAGCATATGATATGGAACATAGAAAAACTGGAATTCTTGCAGCAGACAAAGAATACGACAAATCGATGACGGTGGTGCTCCTAATCAGCAATTAGTAGGCGAAAGAATCCAATTTTTTCGACCTAATTAATGGTCCGCCTCAATGTGCCATTTTCGTCTAGCTAGCAAGAGAATAACGTCTATTTTTATGTATAAAAGATACGGTGGCCCATTTGTTTACTCATAACTCCTCCGTAATACTCGTTATAGTTTAGATAATCCCAAAAACGAGAAAGACCGAATTCGGCGTGTTTAGGTGACTGGAGATAAAGTAGGTACAGCTCCTCTAGATTCTTGGCAAATGCTCTTCTTATCGTGTCAACCTGCATAAACAAGCGAGATATTTTAGTTGTTTTATTACAAGATCGCAGAATCTTGTGCACATGTCAAATTTAGCATGATAATAATACTACATTTGTTAAATAAAAGAAAAGTTATATGCAGCTTAGGTGGACTATATGGATCCGAGCTACAACAATTATGATTTTCAGTTTGCTCTAGTGACTATGAATATGACAATTAAGATGACCTGTGAGATGTCGACTAATCTGTTGGTCGAGTTTTGATCATTGGATCGAGCCCCCAGAATGCTTCCAGTCAAACATGATCGAAAATCCATTGCGCACTGCAGGATGTTCTGGATAATGCCAGCAATAGATCGTGTTTCGTTGGATAAAAAACATCTGCAAGTTACCATCAAGAGTAAATAGAAAAATTATATTTACGAGAGAAATTCCTTGGAGTGAAAAATGAAACCGGTGGGGGGGGGGGGGGGGCAATATTTTCCTGCCCCCCATGCCCGTTTGGGGGGGGGGGGGCCCCCGTTTGGGGGGGGGGGGGTCCCTTTTTAAAAAAAAGGGTGTGTGTGTGTGGGGGGCCATCCGTTTTTGGGGGGGGGTGTGTGTGTGGGAAAAAAAAAGAGAGATATACATGTGCAGAGACTCAGTCAAATATGCCATATGCACCGACTCCAGATCCAACATATCTCTGACCTAAAAACACAAGATAAGTTGAAAATGCAGAGTTAAAAAGATTATGTCATATCTTGATTCATGGAAGCATTTTAATCTGTTAATGATAGCATGGGACAAGACTCTATCGGATCAAAGAAAATTCAGAAATAACGACGAGAAAATGTGAAACATCAAAAATTTCATTTTATTGCTCAAAATATTTCTGGAGAATGCATCTCCCTAGTTGCTTTGAAGGGCTTTTATGTTGGTGAATATTATTTTTACAGTAAAAGTTTCATTAAGGAAGAGAGATTACAAAAAATAGAACAAAAAGTCCTGAAAATACATGGATAAGTTAATTAAACTGCTCGAGTCTCTCTCTGTAATTACCTTGTGCTTAAGAGAGTGTAGAAACCTGTACCAGGATACTTGGGATAATTGTGATTGTATGTATTGCTGCAATGCAGACACGAAATGGTTAACCTTGTGCCTGCAATGAAAGAAGGCAAAAAAATCAGAAGATGGAATCACGAGGGTTCAGCTGCTGAAGCATAAGGAATCCATCCAATTTACTTAATAAGTAGCAAAATCAAAGATATAGATCATCTTTTGTAACATAATTTAGCAATCCTCACCAAAAGGACGCGGCTCAGGATAAATAAATAAATAAATTCAACATAGGGCATAAAGTAATTCAACATAGGGCATAAAACCGCAAACTAGTTGAACTTTATAAAGGGTACCTTGTTTCAGTTAATAATGAAATTTGGCGAACTTCTCCTTTGTGTTGCTCCAAGCGATAACCCTGCTTGTTGAACCATGTCAATTGAACAGATGCACGTAAATACAAGTATGTAATAGTATGAAATATAGGTCATTTTTAGATAAGTACCTTAAAAAAGCACCAAGCGTCATTCAATGAGAAAACAGCGAGCTTGACTTGTATTAAAAAATTAAATATCTTGGAATATATTTTCAATGCAGCAGGAGTAAGAACTATACTGACTGGCCAATCGATTCGGTAGCCCAATCCCAGAAAATCAAAGGAGTGGATTCCTGCCAAATGTGAGGAAATCCATCAAGAGATGAAATAAGCTACAGGGAAAACCAGATTAGTTAAAGAGTGTATGCCCAGAGAATGTATGAGTTAGAAAGTTTTTTTCTTCAATTTATCTCATGATTTTGATTTTGACCAAAATTACTTTCTTATTACAATTTTCCATTTCAAGAGCAATAGCTATCCCTATATATGTAGAGCTCGAATTTTTTCTTTCATAATCTCCCCAGGCCCCAAGTTTTATAAAATTTTAGCTCTTTAATTTCAAAATTATGTTATTTTTTATGCATGGAATATGAAAATTCAGAGGCCAAATTCCCCGGGGCCATGACATTGGTAATGCCTCGCTGAACAAGTTTTCCATAGAGTATCGAAATGCAAATGTACCAATGGCAGAAGCTGAAAACTGTCTGGTGTAATCTTCTTCCAGATACACATACAGCCGATCCTTATTAGGGTCTCCTTCACATGAAGACCTCTGGACCGCCAGCTCAAGAACCCCTTGGATCTCTGGGATCCTCTTATCCAGTTCATTGACATGCCATTTCTGGTTTGACAAGTAAAACTCAGCAAGAGAAATAAATGAACAGAATCAGATTAATAACTAAAAAATAACATACATGACGCCAAAGAGACATGATAAATAAATCGGCCCAGTCTGCTACTTCCATGAAATGATAACACCGCAGCGACTGCAAATGTTCTTGCAACTTGAATCCTTCTATAAGCAACTTGATGGTCAGCTTGCTTATATAGCTGTATCTAATTATATGTCAAGGAAACAAGTGCAAGTCCTTGACCCAATACTACTTATTAGATCAAATGTTTTGTAGTAGAAGAATGGGAGAAAGGTAGTATTTATATTATCTTAAGAGAAAGCTTGGTAGACTGTAGACGGCTGAAAACCCAACAAAACAGTCTTAAGAAAAAAAAATTGACGTGATAACTGCTGTCTCAATATATGTAATTTTAGATGGTGAGGGAAAAACAAATGGAAAAGATTGAAAGACAACAAAGCCACAAAAATCAAGGAATCGCCACTAGACATCTCTGCTTTAAATCGTAAAAAGCTATAGGCAGGGGGGAAATTTGTATTCATTACATGATGTTGTACGCTTATAGCTTCTGTTAGGCACTCAAAAGGACCTGTGAAATACTAGATATAGCTTATATTTCCAGAATATGATAAATAAATTAAACAAAATGTAAATATAAGGATACTGAAGTAAAATCTCATCCAACGCACATTTTTTTATCACAAAATCCAGCGGCATATCTGCTCCAGCCACTGATTTAGTCTCGTGATCTTGTACGGATCTCTTGACAAACTTTCCAGGTCTACCAAGCACAGACTCCCAAGCACTGCCACCGGAAATATTTGGGAGCGGTAACTGTTCTTCATCATCATCCTTTTTATTGGAAGGTGAACTAACAATACACAATTTGGCATCTTTCTCTATGATAAAATCATTCTGGTTTTCTATATCGAGGTAATTACTAGTATCAATACCAGTAGAATGAGTTTCGGTTATAACAGAAGCTTCATTCCCAAATCTAGGTCCGTGATCGCCTGCTAATTTGACTGCATATGTTTTCACTGGATCTTTTACAGAAGTAAAGTCAAAGTAGGAACCAGAATGATTTGCATGCCCCCTTTCTCCAAGAACAGTCTTCCGACTGAAAAAAGGACTTCTGTTCAGTGTTGGGTTCATACTGAAAAATGTAGACTCATATTTTGGCTTTGAAAAATGAAAAGTAGACAATGTCGAGGATGCACGGGTTTGAAGCTGATGCTGATCTTTGTTGCTGCCACTAACCTTGAAGGCATTTTCTGAGATGTCTAAGTCAGTTTTAAGCAATCCATAGTATCGCATGCTTAGCTCCAATTCACAATCAGGTGAATGCAACCATGTATTGCGGTTTCCCCTGCCAATATGAAATAGATCATGCTCACTACTTGAAACCTGAGTTTCAGGAGTTTGGGATTGCTCACTACTCACAATGTATGAATTCTTCTGAGAAGGATACGTAGGGTAACTAGATTTCCGGTTTATTCTAGATGGAAAATCTTTGATAGAGCAGGAATTCTCACTTTGGTCGAGATTTCGCACTCTATTGTCAGTGGATAAACTCAAGGAGAAATCCAAAGCAGATAAATAGTTTGGCTCCACACTCGCAGATGCAAAAATCAGATCAGCCTCATCTTGCTCCTCGGAGCTTTCAGAAAATGAGCACTCGGATGACTCTACGAGATCTTCATCATCTGGGTACTCATGTATAATACTCGATACCTCAGTATCCACCATAGCCCCCGGCCTATTAATCGGTAGAGAACTGTTTAATATTTATGGCAATAAGAGTGAAAAAACTAACAGGAGCAATGATACCAAGAGCAGAATGCATGATTGAAAAAAAAAAAAAAAAAGAATAGGCTTTTTGAGACACTAACTGAACCTTAGAGGTTGGTTGTGACCATATCAAAGAGACACTGCAGTAAATTCAAAAGGATGGGGAGAGAGGGATAACTCACATATTTTGATTTCTTTTATCAAATATAGGTGGATCCAAGCTTTCATCGGCATCATAACATGTTTGGCGGTTCAGGTTTTCTGTGAGGTCATTCACAACTCTCAATTGATCACTTCGAGAAGCCTGAAAACAGATTTTCGTGCCAAAAGCATATTAAGTCGAACAAAGTACAACTGTTGGAATAACAGATAAATGGCAGTGAACTTTTCACCATATGCAACAAGCCATCGTATTTTAAAAAATCGAGAAATTTACCCACAAAATTTCACAGGCATATCAGCATCAACATCTCAAGTTGGATAAAATCAGAGGAACCAAGAACTTTTTTAAGCACAAAGAGATAAAAATGCCTAGAAACTCAGTGTGTCAATTGTCAAAGATCACTTAGTGCCTCATGTATTCCTCAATATGAAATTACAATCTCAACATCAATAACCGGGCAGGGTAAGAACTGCTTGTCATTGATTTATGCATACATAAAGATAGACCTGCATGAGAATGCAATATGACATGGACTTCATAAAGCAACCATTCTAAAAGCAGGGGTTGCTGCAGAAACCACAAAATGAAAACGGAAAACAGAGCACCAAACAAGCATTTTACCTGTTGAAAACTAAAATCAAACTTAGTTATAATGGTTTCAATTTTCTCCAGCATTTGTTGGTAATAACCAGCTCTCACAAGTGCCATTGTTTTGATAGTTCCTTTGTCAAACGTGAATGGAAATGCAAACCATGGATACTCATTGGACAAGCCAACCAAGCTGGGAAGGATCTCTTCATGAGTATGACATGTACCAACATGATTAGACAGATCAAGCAACTTCATTATCACTTGAAGCTGCTGACCAGTTCTACAAAGTGGAACTAGGCATTCTTCCAGAAAACAGGGTACAGCAGCTCCATCTCGTACCTGGGATAAATTAATCCATGTGATCAAAGATGCTCTAGAGGAAAAGAAAGTAGCATCTCTTTAGTATCTCCAGATCTATAGCACATAGGTAGAATTACCCTAATGGTGGGCAAAGGCAAGCCAGAGGCAATTCCAGTGTCGCCCGATGCATGAATGGAAAGATCGCTGACGCATTCCACAACAAATTCATGGTAAGGGTCATTAATTGAGCCATCAAAAATCCATGACCTAATAAAATCACAATATGGTTCATAAGACTGGAGAAAGAGGAACTTGAGGAGGGCACAATGGTCTGGATCAGCAACCTAAAAGAATCAAGGATGAAATTCTATTAGACAATGTGAATAACTTAGAAGACACGTATATTTAATGATTCACATGTACCATTAAAAGCAAAATACATGCAAAATTATCCAATGTTTACCTCAATGCAATTAATCATGGCTGCTATACAATTACATGCTCCTATCATGTTTGAACTGATTTCGACAAACACAATGCAAGGGTGTAGGCATCATGGCATCAAAGTGTACGTCCAATTAAAGAGATATCAGAGTTGACAAAGTTTACCAGAGCTAGTAGTACTCAGAACTTCAGGATAAAACAATGAGAACAACATTTACCAAAAATGATAGATCAAAAGGTAAACATGTTAACTGTGAAGTGTTACTCTAGTGTGAAGAATATCAGAAGAAGAAATTGATAAGTGAATCAATAAATACATACACCAGCTTAACCACACGTGAACTATGAAATAAAGCAGCTTGGACAGGCTAACCTTTAGCTGAGCATATAGAAATGAGAGTAAAGCGCCACTTGCTGGGAAGGCCCTGAACTCTAAATCTGCTTTGGTCCTCAAGTCTTCTAAAGATACAGGAAAGCCAACAGTCAGATGATTAACATTGCAGATATTTCCAAGGGCTTCAATTTGTGTCCTCAATCCCGTTGTGTGAAGGTAAAGCTCCAGCAATGTGATTTCTGAATTCCCAATACTAGTAAGACAACCTCCATTGTTAGTCTTCAAGAAACGCCTCAACCGAACGGATGTGGATAATGTATTAAGCGCAGATATATAACCATCTAAGACCTTTGCTACAGAAATTGCAAATGCCTGATTGATCAGAGTGAGATTATGAGGGGGGCAATTTCCACCTTCGCATGAATCATTTTTCCGGTTTTCCTCAAGCTCTCTCAGTCCACCACAATCTGGAGTTGTGAAGTAGTTGACAAATCTACGGAGTAGGAAAATTATGCAACCAAACTGGCCAATAGAAGTAAGTAGATTTCCTAGAACAACAGTGCTTGAACACCGGGTCCATAAACTTGGAATTCGATGAGAAGTTCTGTCTGCTGAACTGTAACAAAGTAATGCTGACAACTTTTCAATAGAAATCAAAGCCGATTCAACACCTTGGAGAGCATTCATCGCCAATCTCACCAAACTGGGCTCCTAATAGAAAGATAAACGAAATAAATGCCATGAAACATAAAAGTGCAAGAACAAGAATTTGAGAAACATAAATGTGCATAAATCTCCAGTGACACTTCACTGGTAGTCTAATGAACAGGGTATATTCCCTGGATTGATTCTTCAAGTGAGACAATGCCGATGCTTAGACACGTATACGACTATCAAAAAGTCTTCATATACATGTGCAGGCTCTAATTGTGTGCATTCAGTCCACATATATATCGAGGGGCAGAGCCACATTATCTTGCGTAACTTTGATTACCAACTCAAGTACCAAAATATATGCATACGGATAGATTTGACATTCTTGGTTTAAACTTAAGAATCATTCAAAACTAAAGGCAAAGTCCGAACTAAAAGTTTCAGTTTCCAAGTTCATTTGACTCAAATTGAAATAAATATATAATCCATAACCTTAATCAACATTCCATCACTAAGAAACCAAATAACCCTTTTATTTCTGTATAAAATTGTATGCATAAAGAAATTCACAAGTGTTGGTAATTACACAATTGGAGAAAGGGTGGAGAAAGAGATGAATTACAGAGATAGCGGAAGTAGTGTAGGGAGCAGGGGAAGAGTGAGATGGAGGGTGAGATGACGCGCCGGCTTGGGAGGGAAGGGAGTCCCACGATCTGGGTGGGACCCATGGATCATCGAGCTTGAGCTTCTCGAACAAAGAATCCATTACGGAAATCGACGAACCCACCGCCATGATGATGCTACACCGCCGCTGCTGACGGCGGCGGACTACCCGCACTCTGCCGGAGTAGAAGTGAAGACGAAAATTGCAAAGAGGGAAAATAAAAAATAAAAAATTGAAAATTGAAAATTGAAATGGGGCTACATTACAATTTACAGCGATTTCATTTCTGCTACTTTTTTTCTTTTATGTAATTAAACTGGTTAATAACTTACATGAAATTACAAATTGGCCCCATTTATTAGTATATACTATAGTATATATTGAATAGTAATTAATATACTAATATATATTTATTAGCATAATCAAAGTGATGGTATTTGTTTTATCTAAAACATAGTGCTTTGGGAATTAGATAGTCGAATTTCTTTGGAAGATGTCTTTAGATCGAACTTTTGTATTAACTGCATTCAGGATTAATCGCATCGATATAATAATAGCTACTAATTTTAATGAATAGTAGCATTTAATTGCGATCTTCATATTTTACTACGAAGCTTGAGTTAAGTCAAATTACGTCGGTTGAATGTGTAATCACCGGTTTCATGAACCAAATTACAAGACAATGATTTAGGCAAATTTTTCAAAAAGAATGATGCTTTTGTTCTTTGCCTACGGATGAAGCTATAAAACTATAATTTAAAAATAAATAAATTAATTAATAAATAAATAAAGGTATAAAAAGGAAAGGAAAAAAAGCCTAAAATCTTGAATTTCCAAGGAGAAGTAACCTTGTTGAAACAGCCAAGAAAGATTCAAAAATGCCATAGAAATAAAGGTATATTTATTCCCAAAGAAAGGTAATGATATGTACTAATCAAATATTTTGGTTTTGCATATATATACATACAAAAAATCAATCTCAAGCATCATAGTTTCTTCCTCATTCATCAAAGCAGAACAAATATCACAGAAAACAGATTTATAAAATAATATGGATGCAAAGATAGGAGCTGCAGCAACTCACATGACGAATAATTTCGAACCATCTTTCGATTGGGTACGTGAGGAAGAATGCGACACCCTCCTCATATATCTTCCCGGTATGTGTATATATACATACGCACGTCACACTACATTTAATTCAGAAAATTAAACCATACTATCACTCGAGATATATTACGAAACTAACGCGTATTTGAAGTTCGTGTTACATTCTATATATTGTATGTATGCATATGTCTATATGTAGGGCAAAAAAGTAATTGCACTAAATTTGACAGGGTTCACAAAAGAGCAGCTAAGAGTTCAACTAACAAGAACAAGAATCTTGAAAATCAGTGGGGCAAGGCCATTGGGTGATAACAAGTGGAGCAGTTTTCATAAGGATTTCGACGTGTCGGAAAATTGCGACACGAACAAAATCACCGCAAAATTCGAAGAAGGCATACTCTACGTAAGGCAGCCGAAAGTGATCGTTCCGGCAGGGGATAAAGAAGCGAAGAAAATCCCGCCACCACCGGAAAAAACTACTACTCCTCCACAAATATCGCAACTGCCAGCGCCGGCGGTGGCTGAGCATTCTCCGCCGCCTCCAAAGGTTGATCAACGACAGGAAACTGCCGCCACCCCACATGAGGATTTTCCGGAAAAGTCGGATCGGGATAATAAAGATAATGTAATAAAGCCCGCGAATGACGGAGAGAGAAGCCGCAGCGAAAACGCAAGTGCCAAGAAAGACGAGAGGAAGTATGCGCCGGAGAAAAACGGCAAACACGGAAAAATAATTTCGGGGAATAACGTCGGTGCTGAGGTGGTGAGCCCGGCAGCAAAGTTGAAGAAGGTGAGAGAGAGGAGTATGATGGTTATGGCTGTTCTATTTGCCTTTGCATTTGGCATGATTGTGAGCAATCTGGGGTGGTTTACCAGAAAAACAGATAACTGATCAAGATTGTGTGATCATGTGTGTGTACTTTATGTATAATTGATTGAAGTAATAAACGGACAATAATATATCCCAAGTATTATGTTACATGTGCAACGAGATTAACGGTTTGGTAATTGATGAATCTTAAAAAATAAAAAATAAAACGGCAAATTACTTATGGTCAAATTACGAAAATATTTTCTTCTGTTTGGGTAATTACCCCACCCCTTAACTATGTATTGACTTATGAAAAAAACTCTCAAGAGATAAATTTAGGGATTTTAAATCGATAAAACCGAATCGAAATTTCGGTAGGCCGACATTTCTTACCGTTTAGGAAAATGAATATACGATTTGGTTCGGTAAATAACCGAATTACATAAATTTATGTAAAAATATTTAAAAGGAGGAGGTTGATTGTAAATACCTAAGCGATATGAGTGTTTTTTTCGTAATTTGACTATACCTCAGGGGTTGGCCGTAATTTGCACTTATTTTAATAAAAAGGTCCACTACGCCTACGGCCAGGGGCGAGTCCACCCAAGGGCTAGGGTGGACTCAAGCCCCCCCTCACTTCAATTTTTTTTCAATATATATATATATATATATATATAGGGGTATGCTAAATCCTACACTAAAATTTACTAAATTCCACACATAAATTAAAAAAAAAAATTCTCTCTCTATTCATATTCTCTCTAATTTCTCTCTAAAATGATTTTATTCAAACTACTCAAAATTCATTATTTTTTTTTACGTGAATAATCATAAAAAAAAATGAGTTCTGTTTTATTTAATATTTATTCAATTCCATTAAGCCTTTTTAATTATTCAAATTCATATCAATTCGAATATTTTCAAATTCCAACTTTATTTTAGTTTGAACATGTGAAGATTTTTGTCAAATTCGAACTTGGAATGCTAGGGATGTTTTTAGTGTGTGATTTTGTGAAAAAATAGGGAAAAAATGAAGGGTGAGAAAGGAGAATAGAAGATTTTGGAGAGATAAATATTTTTAGTTATGTGCATGATTTAGTAAAAATAGTGTGGGATTTAGCATTTCAGATATATATATTAGTTTTATTTTTTTATTTTTTTCCTACCCAATTATATTATTTTATCCACTTACTTTTACTCCAGTTAAGTCCACTTATTCAAAGTCGCCTTACTTCTCAAAGCCCCCTTAATGTCTAACTTGTTTCGTCTTCTATTTCCCAACTTAGTTCTCGTTCTTTGAAAAAGAAAAAAAAAAACTTTGTTCTATTGCATAGGCGCGCACCAATGGCGGTTAAATTGCTACCCATCGGCGATCGAACGTACACTGACGATCAATTAACGTTTGACGTATTTTCTTTCATCTTAAGAATATTAATTATAAGTCCATTGTGTAAATTTCATATTCGACTTGATATTCATATTTCTTAGATTTTTATAGCAATTTAACTTTCGCGATTCGTTTTGGTATTATCTTACGAAAATGGAGGAAAAAAAAAATTATATCAAATTTTCATCTTAAATTTCTTTGATAGTAAAATTTTCTTCGGGGCCTCTGCCCCCGAACCCCCGATATGTTTAATAAGCCCCCCTCACAAATATTTCTAGCCTTGCCACTGCCTACAGCCTCGTTTGGTTAGGGAGATTAACCATGGTTAACTAAATAACTAGACTTTCTTTGATATTTGATCAACCCAATTATTTTCCCTTCCGGTGACCCATAAAACAATTGGAGTCTCGTCAAATCATTTAATCTTATTTTGATTAATCTTATCATGACCACCAGACCAGACCTTATTCGAACGTCCACGAAAAGTTAGTCGGCCGTAGGGGTATTTTAGTCATTTTAGCAGGATCACAGGACCATCAAAGCTAAATGTGCTCGTTACAACTTGCACTAGCACCCATTATTATGTACATCCCTACTTGTTGGCCTTGTACTTGTTGGACACTTCTTAATCGTTAGATGTACAAACACAGCCATTTTAGAGTGGGACCCACCTTAATTGCACATTTTGTTTTGCTGTTGATTTGGTATATACTATATAGTGTTTTCAATATATTAATTAGGTCTAGCTATTTTTTTTTTATTTTTTTTATTTTGTGTGTGTAATGGATATATACTCTCATGTCGCAAACGTGTGTTTATACATTATTAATTAACTAAAATAATATTAATATTAATATTATTTTTTCTTAATTTTCATAATAGTAGATAAGAATTTTAGGGCCCAATAAAATAACCGAGGTAACTAGGAAATATCCAAATAACTTAAATCACAACTGTAAAATATTTTTTTAGGCCTTGTTTGGTTGCTGCGATAAAGTTAAATATGATGACATCGAAATTTCCGGATAAATCATCAATTAATAGTCAATTTATTTGGTTATTAATACGAGTTTCGAATCTAAGTCCCTAACATATGTGGGCTTTACAAATGGACTGATCATGTAATATAGATACCTAAGTCTATCGGCCCATGCCAGAAACCATAACTCGTACATACCCGGTTCATGTAAATTCAGACTCACATAGACGCATATCAATCAAGCTCACGCCTCGAGTTTCTGCTGCGAATTCATAACATATTTGAATTTGAGGTTTTATACTTATTCGGTTCAATAACAAGCTTATGCCCTTGAATCGATTTCCTGTCTTGTATTTATTTACTTCTTACATCACTTGAAAAAATTGTGATTAACAAAATAATCTAATAAAACTCAATTATTTTAATATTTACATATATACACATTATTAAGGATACCAAACCATCAACAAAGTCTAATTATTCAGTTAATTACAGTTAATTTCCCCAACGAACCGAGGCATCAATATTTTCAAAAGGGAGCGTTCAAGAATACTTCACTAAACACCGCCACGTCACGCAATTATACACAGATTTCATGTCTTAAATTTCAAACCAGTAATAAATTTCAGAGTGGGAAAGAATTGATGTCACAAATAATAAAATGAAAAAAGTAAAAACTGGTAAATTAATTCAAACTCCACAAAGTGAGTTACCCCTAATCCCCATGCAGAAACGATGCTACTGCTCTGTATCTGGCCATTTTTCTTTTATTTAATTCAATTTAATTAATTTAATTAAATTTAATTAATATGTTCCCACCCCCAGTAATTAAGTAATTAGTAATTAATCTTTTCCTCTGCTTTACCAATCGCCGACACTTTTCACCTCCCCATACACCCCTCCCATGTACTAATAATACTGTTCATATTTACCATTAATTAACTTATTATACTTGGATATTATATTTTTATTATTTTCATTTTATCATTTTATATATATATACATATATTACACACAGTTGCGCGCACACACACACACACACACAACTCCGCCACCATATTCTATCCCCCTCTCTGGTTTCGCCTCTATCTTCCTATCTCCATAGATTTTTACCTAGTTATTCTTCAAAATCAGATTACTGGTAATTATGCATTAAATTGATTTTTTTTTTCTTTTTGGATTTTGATAATCTGAGTTTAGATTTTTCTGGGAATTTAAATTTTATTGAATTTTCTCCATAATTAATATGTTCGGATCTGGCTTTTTCACTCCATTTTTAGCAGCTTTTATTTATCAGTACTGTTTCATCTCTGCAGATACATGGTGGTGAAGAAAATGGCAATTAAGTAAATTTTACACTTTCGAAGGTTAATTATATAGTCTAAAGAAAATTCCCGTGATCGATTTTTATAGGATTTTGTTAAGATGATGATGTTTGATGACTTGGGGTTTTGTGGCGATTTCGATTTCTTCTCGTCTGCGCCGATCGTCAAAGAGCCGGCCGACACGTGTCCTCTCCAATCTTCGGAGCCGCCAGGTCAGCAGCATGACCTCGCCGGCGACGAAGACTACACCGACGATGACATCGACATGGACGAGCTCGAGAGAAGAATGTGGCGGGACAAGATGCGGCTCAAAAGGCTCAAGGAGTCGAACAGGGGCAAAGACGGCGGCGGCGGCGGCGGTGGCGGCTCGGCCCTGGATTTAGCAAAACAGAGGCAGTCACAAGAGCAGGCCCGCCGGAAAAAAATGTCCCGGGCACAAGACGGGATCCTGAAGTACATGCTTAAAATGATGGAAGTGTGCAAGGCGCAAGGGTTCGTCTACGGCATCATACCGGAGAAGGGCAAGCCGGTCAGCGGCTCCTCCGACAACCTCCGCGAGTGGTGGAAGGAGAAGGTCCGCTTCGACCGGAACGGCCCCGCCGCCATTTCGAAGTACCAGTCGGAGAACTCCGTCGCCGGCAGAAACGAGGCGCCGAACTCCGCGGGGCCCACCCCGCACACGCTGCAGGAGCTCCAGGACACGACCCTCGGGTCGCTGTTGTCTGCGTTGATGCAGCACTGCGACCCGCCCCAGCGGAGGTTCCCGCTGGAGAAGGGGGTGCCGCCCCCGTGGTGGCCCACGGGGAAGGAGGAGTGGTGGCACCAATTGGGGTTGCAGAAGGATGGGGGCGGTGGCCCCCCGCCTTACAAGAAGCCGCACGATCTGAAGAAGGCGTGGAAGGTTGGAGTTTTAACGGCTGTGATCAAGCACATGTTTCCGGATATTGCCAAGATACGGAAGCTCGTGAGGCAGTCGAAGTGTTTACAGGACAAAATGACGGCTAAGGAGAGCGCCACGTGGCTAGCTATTATTAATCAGGAGGAGGCGTTGGCTCGTGAGCTTTACCCCGACCGTTGCCCCCCGTTATCCTCCGCTTCGGGGGGCAGTGGAGCTTTCGGAATGAATGATAGTAGCGAGTACGATGTGGATGTCGGAGGAGAAAACGAGTCGGATTTTGACGTGCACGAGCAAAAACCGACTATCGGTTTGTTGAATATGGGAATGGATAGATTTCAAGAACAACAACAACAACAACAACATCAATCTCGTGTTGTGATTATCAAGGACGAATACGTCAATAATTTGGACTTTTCGAGGAAGAGAAAAAACCCGGTGAACGAGCTCAGTTCGATGATGGACCACAAGATATACACTTGCGAGTCCCTCCAATGCCCGCACAACGAAATCCGACACGGTTTTCACGACAGAATCTCGAGGGACAACCACCGAATTTCATGCCCTTACAACAAGCCGCCACCCGTCTTTTCTCAATCTTTCGTCCAAACAAAGAATCCCGCCCCACCACCACCGCCATTCGATCTGACGGGGCTTGGAGTTCCGGAAGACGGTCAAAGAATGATCAACGACCTTATGTTGTGCTATGACGATAACGCCCTCACGAACAAGGGCTCGATTGCCCCATCAAAAGAGGGGTACATTCGGAATCAAGGAATGGTGTTGGAGAATAATATATTCGAAGACATCAATCGGTTCGATCAATGCAACAACAGGGTTGTCATGAATTCGACCCTCAACCCTAATCATCCTACGGAGAATTTCCAGCTCATGTTCAATTCGCCGTTCAATATATCGAACGTCGATTATACGGAGAGTTACGCCGGCGTTTCGAGGGATAACAACATGCAAAAGCAGGATCTTGGGATATGGTACTGAGTTAATTATCTTAGTTAATGTTGGTGTATTATTATTATTATTATTATCCAATCTTGATATATTTTAACATGTTGTCCTAGAATTGGATAGGGTTTTTATAAATGTTACATAAATAAGTTTTAATTTCAATTTCTTGTTTTTTTTTTAAAATTTAATTTGGGCAGCTACTAGACAAGGTTGAAATGTCTATTGTGGTGGTGCCCAGTTTAAATGTTTGTTGTGGCTGTGGCTGTATTTTGTTGACTGAACAAGTTGTTTTTGTCTGTGAGTTGTGTTGTGTGTAATTGCAAAGAACTGTAGGATAGTTGTTTGTTGGATGCATTGTCCCATTGGCCATTCACTTAGGTTGGCTTTATTAGTGGAATTCATTTCAAGCTCCACACCAAACTCTGTAATCCATTTATGAAGTCCATCCCTCTTGGTCATATATCCAATAGTTGTTGTTTTTTAGTGTGCATTAAGTGACACGTGGCACACACCTACCTACACATTGAAGCAACATTTCTGACAAAAGAACATGCAACTGTTCTTTTAATCATCTATATATACATGCACCTGCCCACTTTTCCATAATCCAATAATTTAATTTAATTTATTTAATTAATTAATGGTACTTATAAAACTTTAATTAACATTGTACTTTCTTGACAGAAATTAATCATCCCAATAAAACCTCAGATTTTAGCAGACAGATGCTTAATGAAAAAAACTGTCTGATGTGGAGCGGACACTAATCTTTAATCAAATTTAATTAATTAATTAGTAAATAATTGTACTAGTTTACTCTTAATGATCTGGCTAATATGATTTTTAATGATGGGAGGTGGCGAGTGCTGATTGGTTAATGTTATTTTTTAAGGTTTTCCCCTAATCATAGTTTGGACAAAGCCAAATTAATTTCATGTGACTTGTGTACTTTGGTTCTCTTACTTAATTTAGGCCAATGATTTATAAATGAGATGTATGAAATTTAATAATATTAATATTGATTTTTAGGGAATAATAGGGGACAATGAAATCTTCATGTGTAGATTTACTACCACTTATATATATTAGTATAACCTAAGTACCAAATGTGCAGGCACGTAGCTGAGTTGTCCAAAATATTTATTTTTCCAGATAAATAGTAAAAAAATTATTTAGCTTATTTTTTGTATTAATTAAGTCCCCATTTTATATATTCGAAATAAATATTCAATAATATTATTATTATTATTATTAAGTAGCTTAATGACCTACTTCTCGGACACGTGTCTTGATATAAGAGGGATATAAGTCAACCCTTTTGAACTATAGAAAAATAAATTTAGAGGGATCAAATTAAATATTTCTTTGACATATATATAATAATTATTATAGTTATTATTTTTTTAGGTTCGCTTTTTTATTTTTATTTTTATTTTTATTTTTATTTGTTTTTGGCCCTACTAATGGATGCCCCATTGGCTGTCATCCTAGCTGTACAGTTTTTTTTTTTTCATTTAATTAATTAATATATTTATTAATCTTTTAGTAAATTACTAACTTGACAACAATCATTTTGTGTTCAAGTGTAAAAAATTAGAGGGCAAATTTGCTCTCACACAAATTGTTATGCCAATATTCTTCGATACTAGGCCCAGTGGGCTAATGGCAGCTAACTCTTTAATTTGTTTTTCATTTCTTCAGTTCTTTTTTTTTTTTTTTTTTTTTTTTTTTTTTTTTAAATTGGATATTTTCTTGTAAGTAAACTACTGATAATTAAATTGGTCAACCAATGGGTCAAGCCCAACAAATTTGGGTTTCCTTAAGCCAAATAAGGGCTAATATTAAAAAGCCCATGCAACTTTAGATCCATACAACAGACCCAAATTTTTGAGCTTAGGCCCACCGAAAATGTTTATCTTTATCAAGAAAACAAATATTTTATTACAAATAAAATTATCGAAATATTAATGATATGCAATACAAAGTACTAAAAAAATATACAAATCAACAACGTTTGGTGTAAGTAATTAATTAATAAAAATGATAAATATCGAAGAATAAATTTTCATATGCCTCAAGTACATTATTTGTTCCAATGTATACAACCATAACTACATGCCGAATTGAATACTACTACTAATACTAATACAAATACAAATATAAAATATCAATGCTAATTATAATCCTCATACTGATGATAATCCTAATACTAATTCTAATACTAATTGTAATCATAATCCTAATTCTTATCATAATTTGAATCCTATTTAAAATTCTAATACTTATATTAATACTAATGATAATAATAATTAAAATCCTATATCCCTATACTAATGATAATTTTAATACGAATAGTAATCATACTTCTAATACTAATATTTAGAAAAATTTCAGATCGATATCGACATAAATTGAAAATTCGGTTTCCATACAACCTCCATCTCTTATCCTAATTGGGTTTTTTTTTTGTTTTCTAGTTGTGGACTGGTTGTCACTTGTCAAAATATTAGAATATTAGGGCTTGCTTTAATTTATGAGTAAAAAGCAGTTTGCCCCCTAAACTATGGGCCGATTTGCACTTTACCCCCCAAACAAAAAAAATTTGCACGTTTTTACCTGAACTCATTAATTCGTTGCACGGTGCCCCCTGAACTAATTTTTCCGGCAATTTTGACCGGAAAGTTAAAACATGTGCCTTGCACGTGACATTTGCAAGGCTATATTCGTCCATTCACTTGCATCTTTTATATTAAATATAAATTATTCATTAAAAAAAAAATTAAAAATTAAAACAAAAGAAAGAAAACAAAAAATAAAAAAATATTTTGTATTTTTCAACTTCTTATGAGCGGCGACTTTGAGCAGCGCCTTACAACCCTTGACGGAGTCCGGCAGCAGAAGCTCCGACGAGGAAGAAAACCCCAGCCCCTCCAGCGTGGCGGCGCTTATTGAATCCGTCATCGCCAGTATCGACCCGGAGACCACCATCGCCTCCACCATCTCCGGGTACATCTCCGCCATCTTGAACGCCACCATTCCGCCGTAGCTGAACCCCACCACCGCGCACCTCTCTACTCCCAGCTTCCTCAGCCCCTTCGCCAGGCACTCCGCCTGATACGCCGGCAACCTGTCCGGGTTATCCGTGATCGACCCGCTGAAGAAGAGCAGGTCCGGCAACGAACCCACCTGGAACCCACCTGGAACTGCCACGTCACTATTCCCTCGGCGGTGAAGCCGTGTACGAGGACGACTACCGGCTTCGTGGGCTTTGCTGTTTTGCAGCCGCCGTCGTCGGCGGCGGCGGTGGTTTTCTTTGAACTGGTTTTGAGTTTCTTGATTGTTTCGGAAGGGACCCAGATGCTCATAACGGTGCCGGAACAGATTTCGACAGTGTGTGGTGTAATTCCGGCCATCTTCATCAGCCCATTCAATAGTGGCTTTTGTGCTGCCACAAGATTCACCATTTTCTTTTTTTCTGTTTTTTTAAATTATTATTATTTTATTATTTTTCCTGATTTCTCTGAGTGTGTGAAATTTTGGTGATCAAATGGGGAATTTAAAGTAGTTGAAAAATAGAGAGTTGGTGTTGGGTTATTATCTGTTGTTCCAATTGAAAAAACATGGATTAAAATATGGGTTGGCGACGATTGTACTGAAATTCTCCATTGATGAAGTCCTGAAGCAGGACAGGACTCTGATGAGCTGTGTGTGTGTGTGGGAGGGGAAAGAGAGAGAGAGAGGGGGGGGTGGTGGACGGGAAGAAGGAAGACAATATTTTTTTATTTTTTGTTTTTCTTGTTTTGTTTTTATTTATTTTTTGGTTTTTTAAAGATTATTTTATATTTAATATACAATATGTTAGTGAATGGACGAATATATCCCTACGAATGTCACGGGCAAGGCACATGTTTTAACTTTCCGGACAAAATTACCGGAAAATTGAGTTTAGGGGGCACCGTGCAACAAATTAACGAGTTCAGGTAAAAACGTGCAAATTTTTTTTGTTTAGGGGGTAAAGTGCAAATCGGCCCATAGTTTAGGTGGCAAACTGCTTTTTACTCTTAATTTATATATGAAATTCCAATAATCGAGGCTTTAATTAATTAGGGTAAATTCTACTTTACCCCTCGTACTCTGTTTGAGAGTCATTTTACCCATCGTATTCTCAATTTTATCGATTTAACCCATTATACTTGTACAATTTCCCAATACAGTCATTTCCTTTAATTTTTGTCAATTTTGACTCTAACGCCATTTGGTCAACTCTGTAAATTACAAAATTGCCACTGCCTATAACGCGTCGTTTCTCCTCCGTCGATATTGTCATTTCTTCTTCTCCCACCACTTTCCCTTCCAAGATATCCCCAAATTGAACCCCTAACTTAGTAAAAATCAAGACCCAAAAATTGATTGATTCCACCCAGTGCAAAGAAAAAAATATATGAATGTGTGAAACTTTCTCTTTTCTAATCTCGAGAGTCAAAATCGAAAAAATTCAATATTTACGTCAATATTTTGACTCTTGACCAAATGACGTCAGAGTCAAAATCGAAAAAAGTTGACGAAGAGGGTTGTATTGGAAAATTGTACAAGTACATTGGAGTAAATCGACGAAATTAAAAGTACGAGGGGGTAAAGTGGTTCTTGGGCAGAGTACAAGCGGGTAAAGTGGAATTTACCTATTAATTAAATAAAAGTTAAAAAAAACCTAAACAAGAACATCCTACAGGAATGGGGACAAAAGCCCTTTTTCTTAAACCTGACCCAATTACTGCCACTCCGCCAGCCCAACTTTCCTTGTCCTGCATCAAACAACCATGCCCAAACAAACACCCACAGATGAGAGAGAAAGTAGCGTGGGCAAGAGAGAGAGAGAAGAGAGAGAGAGAAGTAGAGAGAGAGAGACGAGACTGTATAGTGGAGTACCCACTCCCACTCCACACACACAGTACACATTTTCTTTCTATAGCTTTCTTCATAGTTATTACAGACTCATTACATTCAATAACTGATTCCCACCTACCGAATTTCCCTTTTTTTTTTTTAATTTAATTATTTATATAGAGGAATCATTTGTGATGCTAGTGACCAATTCCCTTGAGAAGATGGCCATTCCTTTACTCTTGTCTCTTTCATTTCCTCTCTTCGCATTTATTACCTATTTTACATTGTAGACTTGTAGTGTAGTGTCATCTTCTTTACAGTTAACGAAATAAAAAAAAAAAAAATTGGGGTTGGCTTGATTGGAATTGGATTTTTTCCCCCAATTACAATTTCTTGATTCTTTGGTGGGTTTTAGTTAAAAATTTGATCTTTGTTCTTGCCCATTTATTTCTCATATTCTCTTTGTTGGGAGTGTTGTAATTGGTTGTTTTTTTTCCTATGTTTCTGTAATTTTGTGAGCCCAATTAGCACTTCTTGAATGTGCTGTGTTGTATTACAAAGAATGCAGACCGTTTGTTTTGTGTTGATGCTGTTACTGTTACTACTAGAATTGACAGTGGGAGAATCAGACATTGATGCACTTCTGCAACTCAGAAGAGGAATCCACACAGACAATTCAGTTGAAGTTCTTGCTTCATGGGATTCCAACTCACTAGCATCCGATGGTTGTCCTAAGAATTGGTACGGCATCGCCTGTAGCAGCGGCCGCGTGACTTCGATCGCGTTGAACGATTTAGGCCTAATCGGGGAATTCGATTTTCTCGCCGTTTCGTCACTCCAAATGCTTCAGAACTTATCTTTGTCTAATAATCAGTTCAGTGGAGCCATCGCAAAAGAAATCGGTTCGATTCAATCACTGCAAAATTTAGACTTTTCGCGAAATTCGTTCGCGGGTTCGATCCCTTCTGAATTGACTGCGTTGGAAAACTTAGTGGCGTTGAATGTTTCGTCGAACGAAATGGTGGGAGAGATTCCATCTGGTTTCGGTAGTTTAAAGAAGTTGAAGTTTCTTGATTTTCACTCCAACGGTTTTGTGGGAGATGTGATGGGAATTTTGGGTCAATTGGGAGATGTGGCGTACGTTGATCTAAGCGTTAACCGTTTTTCGGGCTCGTTGGATCTTGGAGCAGGGAATCCCGATTTTATTTCTTCGGTTAATTATCTAAATGTTAGTCATAATAACTTGAGTGGCGAGCTATTTCCTCACGATGGAATACCGTATTTCGACAGCCTCGAGGTTTTTGATGCTAGCGACAATGGTTTTCTTGGAAATTTACCGTCGTTCAGTTTCGTGGTTTCGCTCCGAGTTATTAAGCTCGGCAATAATCAGTTATCGGGGTCGTTGCCTGAAGGCCTTCTGCAAGAGAGCTCAATGATCTTGTCTGAATTGGATCTAAGCCATAATCGGCTCGAAGGTACGAAATTTTTAGGCGTTTATGTAAATTGTTTTTTATTTTTTCCGAGTATCGTTAGAAATCTGTTTGGATTTATTTTTATACGAAATGAATTGAATTAACAGGTCCGATTGGAAGTATAAGTTCGGAGAATCTAAGGAATCTAAATTTATCCTCGAATCGTCTGTCGGGCCCACTTCCTATAAGAATAGGACATTGTGCCGTTATAGATCTTAGCAACAATATGTTCTCAGGTAACCTCTCGAGAATCCAGAGTTGGGGAAATTATATCGAAATTATTGACTTAAGCTCTAACAAATTGACCGGTTCCTTACCGAACCAAACATCCCAGTTCTTGAGGCTCACTTCGTTAAGAATTTCCAACAACTCGTTAGAAGGCGTTCTTACACCCGTACTAGGAACTTATCCGGAACTAGAAAATGTCGATTTTAGCGTCAACAAGTTGACCGGTTCACTCCCACCGATACTATTCACCTCAACAAAGCTGACCGATGTTAATTTATCTTCGAACAACTTTTCCGGTACGATACCTATTTCCGATGCATCGGGCCCACCACAAAACTACAGCTTGGCATCTCTCGATCTGTCGAATAATGAACTTACTGGTATATTGCCTGACGAGCTCGGAAGGTTCCGGAGCATTGTGTTTCTTGATCTTTCCAAGAATCTTCTAGATGGCGGCATCCCGAACGGTTTACCGGAAACAATGAAGGGGTTTAATGTATCGTACAATAATCTCTCGGGAGTTGTTCCTCAGAGCTTGCAGAGATTCACTTCTTCGTCTTTCCGCCCCGGAAATTACTATCTTACCCTTCCAAACGAGGCTTCCTCAACTAAAGGTGGTAATAGTATAAGTTTGAAAGGGCATAATTCTCGATTGAAATCCGCAATTAGAGCTGCCCTTATTGCTGGCCTGGTAGGTGGAGTATCGGCAATAGTTTTACTAGCGTTAATGATCTACTGCAGAGTCAACCGAGACGGGAATAAGTCAACTCCGAGAGAAACCGGTGGAAAGAAAGGTAAAAACTGCATCTTTAAAAATTTTCTTTTAGTTTTCTTATGTAATTACGGTGCATTATATTACTTAGTTAAACCATTTTTTTGTTTTATTTTATTTTACATACAGTTTTATCTTCCGCCGGAGTAGAATCTGCCGCTCAGTCCGGTGATGTTTTACCAGCTGCAACGAGCCCGAAAGATACCGAATCAAGAATGAAAACCGAAATTTTAACTTCGGAAAATAATGCACCGGAAAAATTGGCGGGAGATTTAAATCTTTTCGACAGCTCGTTGAAGCTGACCCCGGAAGAGCTATCTTCCGCCCCGGCGGAAGCTATAGGTATGAGCTGCCACGGTACGCTGTACAAGGCGGTGCTTTCCTCCGGCCAAGTGCTGGCGGTGAAATTGCTCAAAGAAGGAATAGCCAAAGGCAGAAAGGAGTTTGCTAGAGAAGCGAAGAAACTAGGGAATATTAGGCATCCGAATCTAGTGTCTCTTCAGGGATTCTATTGGGGTCCACGCGAGCACGAGAAGCTGATCATATCGAAATACGTCGACGCTCCTTGTTTGGCTCTCTATCTTCATGGTATGAAATTTTTCGAACCCTTTTTGAATTGCATGCGAAAAACCCTCCAAAATCTCCGTCGAGGATGAATTTTGTCTACAAAATACGCAAACTCGATACTTTTTTTATACACGTATTTAAAGAAATGTTACGTCATTTAAATAAATCAAGATTCTGCAGGGCCAACGGATTCAAGAACAACCCCTCCTCTATCTCTTGCCGACAGGCTAAAGATCGCGGTGGATGTATCCGGCTGTCTTACGTACCTACATACAGAAAGCACCATACCTCACGGCAACCTCAAATCCACAAACATTCTAATCGAATTTCCCGACATAAACGTGCTCTTAACCGACTACACTCTCCACCGGCTACTAACGCCGTCCGGAATATCCGAGCAAGTTTTAAATGCGGCCGCTCTAGGCTATCTGCCGCCGGAGTTCACCACCACCAGCAAGCCTTGCCCTTCGCTCAAGAGCGATGTATATGCGTTCGGAGTTGTGTTGTTGGAGCTTTTGACCGGAAGAAGCTCGGCCGATATTATACCCGGGACACACGAGGTGGTGGATCTATCGGAGTGGGTGGGGTCCATGGCTGCGGAGGATCGGGCCTTCGAGTGCTTTGATCGGGCCTTTGTGGGCCCGCAGCAAGTGGTTACGGAGAGTGTCGGGAGGAATCTTGATTTGATGCTTTGCGTTGCTTTGAAGTGCGTGCTTCCGGCCGATGAACGGCCTGATATGAAGGTGGTTTTCGAGGAGCTTTCTTGTGTGGTGTTGTGATTGGTGGACGTAGGAAGTTGGGGAATTTTTATTGAGATTTTAGTGTAGGGTATTTTTTTTAATTAATTTTTATTTATTTAATTGTTTTGTGATTAATGAGTAGGGTTGTGTAGGTGGAATTGAATTGATTCTTTTCAGTTGGCCAAAATTCAGATTCTTGTACATTGTTACTTGATCATTCTTTTTAGTCACTATAAAGTCATTGTTACTTGGCACGATCGTCTGGACATCGAATATTTCCATCGGCGCTGAGGCGCCACCGTTTGTACTAAAAAAGTTTCACCGCGGTCGAAGATTATGGAGATCAAAACACCTCCATTGCCGCCGAGACACTACCGTTTGGGCAAAACACCTCAGCCTCCGGAATAGAAACAATCATCCTCTCATATGCAGGTAATTTCCTCCTCTACGGGCCCGACCAACGCATTGCGTGGCAGATCTTCTCCCATCCATTCGATACACTCCAATTCTTCTGCCATTGATTTTAGTATTGTTTTTATTTGACAGTTTCACTAATATTCTCTAAAAAAAATTAATTTTAGGATTAAGATGAGTACTCGTACCCAGCTGGCAGAGTTGAGAAGAAATTTCACTTAAAATTATTTCTTAATTTATTGGACAATACCACTGGTGGAATAAACAAAACAAAACACACACACACAAAACCAAAAAAAATAATTAAAAAAATGAAAGAAAAAAAATGTAGAAAAACGAACATTAACACAATGGCTTGGTCATGTATTTTTATTTAATAATAATAAAAAACAATGTCATGCATTAATTGAAAATCAACAAAATTTAGTAGAACTAGTCACCCTCTACTTATTTTCAAACTTTATTATGTATAGTATACCAAAATTGTCTGTCACCTTCAATCATTTGATCGTAATTAATAAAATTAATCATATAAGAAATATGAGACAAGAAGAAAGCTACTTACCTTGACTATTTCTACCCTTTAGACTGCACATTTCTCATTATTTTATTTCAATTACGTATTTTATTGGACATAAACTTTGAAAATATTGAATCCATAAAAAAAATAAAAAAATCACACTCAACAAATTAAGGAATATTTCCAATTTTAAAAAAAAAATTGGAAACTGGAAATATATGAATAAATATGGCAGTGTATGTAACAACTGTATAGCATTCACGCTCACGCGGCGCCTAACACACACTACGCGTTTTTTCCAAAAAAGAACAAAATTCACACACAATTACACTGTTTTTTCCCCTTTAAATTCACACACAACACGCACACACACACCAAAGATTATATATATATATATATATATATAGGGATTATTGTGTGTATATTTTCATTCTCTGATTTTGCTAGATTGTGTTCTGTGAATTGTGAATTGTGAATTGTGATATACAGAATTAAAATGGCCGAAGCAAGAGTTTACCCTGCCGCCGGCGACACCCACCCGCCGCCGCCGTCGTATTCATCAGCTGCAACATCGCCCAATCAGTCCGGCGAGCATCCCAAGCCGCCTAACCCTCCGCCATCTAAGCCCGTCCCTCCGCCGGCTACCTACGTAGTCCAGCTCCCTAGAGAACAAATACTCCGCTATCCGCCGCCGGGGAACGCCAGGAAATTCGAAGCCCTCACCCGCCGCAGCAAAAACCGTCGGAGCTGCTGCCGCCGCTGCTGCTGCTTCACTCTCTGCTTCCTCGTACTCCTCGTCGTCGCCGCCGCCGTCTCCGCCGGGGTTCTCTACCTCGTGTTCCGATTCAAATCCCCAAAGTACACGGTGACGGACCTCGCGATCAAGGATATGAACCTGACGTCAGCGGCGCCAATCTCGCCGGGATTTGACGTCACCATCAGAGCGGAGAACCCTAACGGCAAGGTTGGCATCTATTACGTGAAAGGCAGCGCCGTCAGCATCTTCTACAACGACGTTAACCTGGGAAACGGCGTTTTGCCCGTTTTTTACCAGCCGAGGAAGAACGTGACGGTGATGCAAACGGCGTTGACGGGATCCGGTCTGTTACTTGGCGGGACGGTTAAGACGGCGTTAAGGAATTCGCAAGAGCAAGGGATGATTCCGTTTGTTGTGAGAACGAAGGTGCCCGTTAAGATTGAGGTGGGGTCCGTTAAGACGTGGGAAATCACCGTTAAAGTCAAATGCGACGTCGTAATGAATGAATTGAATGAGAGGGCGAAGATAGTATCCAACGGCTGTGATTACAGTGTGAGATTGTGGTAACAACAGTGAATTTCATCACTACATTTGATGGCATATTTTTTTGGTATAGGAATATTTTTTATCTTATTTTTTCTAGTTAAAATATTGTTTATGTGATAAGTGATTTGAAATACTAAATACATACATTATAGAATAATATGTCTTTATTTATATTTGTTTATAGAATAATATGTATTTATCCTTTTAGAATTGCTAAAAAAAAAATAAGTCATAGGGGGGGTTTTTGGCTGTAAAATTATACAGGGTGGTTTTTTAGCAATTCAATATAATACGGGGTACTATTTGCATTAAACTCTTATTTATTTACTACTAGTGAAATTAAGGTTCGGCAATATGGATCCGATCAGATTCGGTTCGATCTATGTGGATTCGGTTTCATTAAATCTAGTTAGAAATAAATCGAACTAAATTGATAACTTATAAGAACCGGATTCACGTGGATTGATTCACTTTGGATCTATTAAAAGTGCGACAAAAAATGAAGCGGACACAATCAAGCCCAATTAAATCCCAAAATAAATATGTGAAAAATCAAATTTAACAAAAAAACTACAACATTATGCTATAAAAAAATACACAGAAAATAATAAATAAATAAAAATATAATATTTAAAAAAAATCTGATATACATGTCCAGAAGAAGCTTTACACAAAGCTCTATTCATCAAAAAAAATCAAGAATAACAAAAGTCTAAAATCTTGAAAAAAGTAAACTATCATGTATTCTTTATTTGAAAAATAATATCCAACCAATCAAATAATTTAGAGAGATGACCTCAATTTAACCCAGTTTATTCCATGCACCATGTACAAAAATATCTGTCCTTCTATACCTATAAATAATTCTCCCTTTTTTTATTTTATTTTATTTTTTCGCGAAAAAAAAAACATCTACGATTGCTGCGATTTATACTGTTCGTAGTTGTTCTTCGCTTGCTCGATCGCCTTCTGAAGCTCACCAAACATCGTCACGGACGACTCGGCAAAGTTGTTCAGCTGTCCAAGAAAACCCGCCAAGCTCGTCCGAAAACGATCAAGAAACGGGACCCACTCCTCCGCCACCTCATCACTCACGCCGAGATCTCCACCGCCCGTTCCAGATCTCCCGTGACTACTACTCTTATCCTGACGTGGCAGGAAGTGAGCCACCTCAGCAGCCAAGTCCTTGATGGAATCTGCAACCCCCTTAGCCGGCAGTTTGTCGATCATTTCCAACCAGGCCCCGCATATCATGTATATAGGCGGGCCGAGGTTTCTGATTGGTGGTGGTTTTATTCTTTTGTTTCTCTTGGAGGGTTTTTGCGGGATGGAGACGCATTTGAAGAGCCATTTTTCGATCGATTCGACGTAGAGCTTTTGTGAGGCGATCCATTTTGTGAAGGTGGAGAGTAGGGAGTTGAGCTCGTTTCCGAGGTGGATCATGATTTGTCGTCTCGCGTCGGAGTGGATGGTGGTTTTCGCGGCGGCGGCTGTCGGTGTGAGGGAGATCGATACTACGTGGAATTGAAGCTGGTGGCATTGCAGCATCATTTCCCACATCTTCCTTAATCTGTCGTACGTAACAAGAATCGAGAGCATATCAGAGTAGATAGTACAACCGTTCATTTACACACACCAATATGGGTGTGTGTGTGTGAAAAAATTGCATCGGAAGGGTTCGCTATATATTATAAAAAATTTGCAAAATCGTACCCTTCGATTAACTCCTCGAGTTGCGGCTGGAGCTCCTTGTCTCTAATTTCTTCGATTTTCTTGGAGATGGAGTCGATTCTGTGAATAGCAACTCCGATTCTTGAATGTAGGTCTTTGACTCCAGCACGGGTCTTGTCAGCATTCTCTCCCCTCGATTCTTGCTGTCGAAGAAGTTTGCACTTCTGATCAAAATTATTTCTCAGTACCTGACCAGCCTGAAATACGAAATATTCCACGGTTCAATCTTCAAATTACAATACTACCCTTGCTACAGGCCAAACATATTGGAGCTAATTAACAGACTAATTTACACACACACACACACACACACACACACACACACACACACACATATTAAAAAGAAAACGAATAAGGTTGAAAAATGGCCTGCAAGCAAGCATTAGAATATCCAAATTCAACAACCAGTAGTGGTAATGCATTCTCGTTTTTTCAAGAATTCCCTTCAGTTCAGTGAGCTAGAAACGGGAAATAGTAATAACGAAATCCATGATTATACTTACGAGGAAACGGGAAACTGAGAAAGTAAACTGGGCCAAAAAGTACTCAAAACACAGTTTCACAAAAGCCGATTTTACTACACCTTAAACTCATTAGCCATAATACTTTCATCAAGAACAATAATTACAAACCATACCTTAACTTCGTCGTAAAGCTTCTTTTCCCATGCATAAAGCCTATCTAGGGTTGAGGCATGACTTCCCGAAACCATACACGAGTTGTCAAAAAGATTGTTTCTAAGATCATCAACACCGTCAATGTTGGAGTTTGCACCTAGAAGGTTCCGAGACGAAGCTGAACGAAAAGATGCCGTTCGATGCCAAGTTAAGTACTTCACGGAATTTTGAGCCGGCTCTATATATATTAAAAAAAAAAGTAAAAATCAGTAAGTTCGCAATAAACATCGACCAATTAAATGCACGAGTATGAAATCATTTAATGCAGTCCCTTAATATGAACACACGACAAGTTGACATCTGTCTGAACGATTGTGTTCGACACGTGTTGAATTACGATCTACGTACTCCAAAGATGCTACAGTGGGAAAGATAATTAATATTCCGCAATCCATACTTTCTTATATTTTCATTTCATTATCTTTTTATGATTTCTATAATATGACTCGAGTATCGGATCCGAGGCCACATCTACAAACCTAATGTGTTCTTTATTCAACTTAGCCAAGCAGAATCGTTTACATTTCCCTAAGCACATCGGTGAATTTCCCTAAGAGTAGTGTCTGAATTTGATGAATATATTTAAGTTTGTTCGATAGTTGAAGATTAATGATGTCTGAATAATGTTATTCTTTTGTTATAGCCCTATGAATTGGTAAATAAAAACATCGGTGAACAAATAAGTGTTTTTACTATAATCCACTTAATTAGTAAAACGTACAAATTCGATGGACATTAAACACTCGACGTAGATTAAGTTTCGTGAATTTAAAGTAGAATTGGTATAGACTCAAAATTTACACATCAGCTATCAAGGTAAACTCCCGCCAAAATCATAACAGCACGAGAATCGAGAAAAAATACGACGGTTATACAACAGAGCAAATATTTGAGTGTAACTTTTACTTATTCGTTTACGTTTTTTTCCATTAAAGTGGAAACCCTACCTTGCGGAACCTCACTTGGATCGTCTCCACACGAGAAACAAGATCTTAGCAACGATGATCCACCTGTCAAAAGACGAATATATCCTCTATTAACTTCCATTCTTTTACATGAAAAAAACGACAATACTTATATGAGAGAGAGAGAGATTACGTTCTCTTCCAGGAAAAACAGGGCGGAAATGGAATTTATTAGCTTCGAGCATACGCGGAACTTCTTTTCCCGAATCAGAAGCTTTAACAAAGAGCTGCTCGATCTCTCTCATGCTCGAAAAGAAGTCCTTAGGCGCAACCGTATCTTCGACTTGAGTTTCTTCCATCGGAGTTATCTTCACATCATTCAAATGCATAAACCTCGAAGAAGTGGCCCTTAGTGGAGACAATTCAGGCGACTTATTCTTCTTCTCGTTCTCAAACTTCTTTTCAAATACTCCATTTTCAGATGGCCTGGCGGGCGATTTGTTGCTCGCATTTTCAAAACTCAAAGGCTTGATTTCGGACGAATCACCATTGACGACATTTTTGAAGCTCCGAACGAGTGTAGCTGGAGAGGGCTCGTCGTCGAATTCATCCTCCGATTCGTCCGAGGAGAATTTATCCTCTACTACATCTTCGATCTCGGTGACTCGTTCATTCCCCGCGGTATGATCGGATTTCTCCGAGCCCAGATCGAATCCCCTCACTTCTTGATTATCAATAGGATGAAAAAGACCGAAATAATCCCACGGTGGCGGAGCAGCTTCTGCGGGCCCCGGTGTTTCGGAAGGCGATTCGTCCGGCGCTTCGGTGGAGAAACGAGGGGTAGTACTCGGCGGGGTTACCGAAGAAACAGATACAGCGATAGGCACAGAGGGTTTCTCTTCGACTTTCCTCGAAAACGAACCCTTAAATTTCATGTAATGGGATTGGTACTGAGTTGCCGATACAGGTGTCGAAGGAGATGGTGATATGTTTGAAGTTGCGTCCACATTGTGCGATAGAGAACGAGACGAGGAAGATAGGGTCGACTTCTCGGTCAAAGTATGAGGCTCGGCGGGGGTTTGACTTCTCGGAGGATACACGAAAGACTCGACATGGGAATCGGTTTCGACCGATCTCCTTAAAGCGGATCCGATAATTTTGAGTTCCTCTATGTATGCGATATGAGCTGCTGCGAGAGAGCATCTGCCATTAAGTGCTTGTTTGATGAATTTCTTCCTTGCGCGACACAGAAGCAGCCCTTTGTCTTCTTCCAATCGTGAATTCGAAGCTCCCATTTTAACTCAAACGGGATTTTGATGAATCAGTGTAAAGACTTGTTCATCTGATTCAAGGATGTCTGAAAAGCACAAAATTAAGCTAACCTCAGCCCTCAAATTCCACTGGATAAGTATATAACATGCACATGAAGGGGATCGATAATCCATAATCGAAAGAGAAAAAAGTTTACACAAAAACTACTTGCTCGTAAATAAAGTCTCGTTTTTTTTTTCTTTTTTCTTTTTGCATTAAAAATGTTAATCATCGAACAATCTGGTTCCATGAAGGTGATCATTTGATTAAGGAGTTCAAGACATAAAAACAAGTTATATGAATGGACGAATAAAAATCGAACCATCATTTGGTAAATCGCGAAATCTGGGCAAACAAGTTTATGCAACAGAGTACAATTTAACCAAAATCAAACCAATCCAAAGCCCTCAAACAAAAGGAATGCAACCAAATCCATCTAAAAACATAACAAACCCATCAAAGAATTGTTCTTTTTAAACACACACACACACACACAGTGCTTTAGAACAAGAAAGCCAACAGAAAAAAAATTAAGAAGAATGAACAAGAATTCAAAATCAAAAAAATAATTCAAACCCCCAAAATTCCAACACCAATCAGATGAATCAAATTCACACAACCCCTCAACAATCAGTCCAAGAAATAAAAAAATAAAAAATAAATAATTACATAAAAGATCCCAATTTTAATCCAGAAAGTCGATCAAGATTCGAAACCGCCATTAGAAAACTACAACCCAAGCTCCAAAACCCCAATAAAGATTGAAAAAAACAGAACCACATAAACAAAACCCCTGAATTGTCAACCAACATAAAATTAGAAACCACCGCCGTCAAGAATTTAATCTCTTTTTTATTTATTTATTTAATTATTATTATTTACCTGAGAAAAGATTATCAGAAAATGAAGTCAAATTGGCGGTGGACCAAAAAAGCCCTTGATTTCAGTGCAGATAAAGATAGAATATGCCTTCAGAAAACTCTCCACACACACACACACAAAAGAGAGAAAACCTTCACAGGGGATGGTGTATGAATGTGTGACAGTCCAAATCAGGGCTGTGGGGGTGGGGTGGTGGAAGCATCTCCTATGGTATGGCTTCGACTGTGGT